AGTCCCTTCTGTTCCTGCTGAAGACAGTGACTCCCGAAAATGATGAGGTTAGCATATAAATATGCTTTAATGATTCTTAACCAATAGACACGGTGGTCTAAGGGGAGTAATCGGGATACTCTTAAAGAATCACCTATGTAAGAGTGAAGTGTGGTCGCTTCAAACGGAGGATCTTGGGCTTAATCCTCTAAACACTCTCGCAGAACCAGGCGCGTGTCCCACGACCAAAATGGGCACAACCATGAGAACAGAACGGCGTTTGGTTGGAATCTGTGTATGGTATACTATCGTTTACACAAGCGGCAGTACAGTTCAAAGACATCGCGTTCTACTGAACAGCCAGTAAAGAAGGTATACTATACAAGGGACAGGTTCAAAAGTGGAAACACTTAGCTGTTCTTTGCAGGTTTCCAATCATGGGATGTTGTCGACCCCAAATCATTTTTTCATTCATGTGGGGGATTGTTAAAATTTTTGGCATTTTAACTGGCATTAAATGGACCAATTTGGGTATATTTGTCAATAGGTCCACTAATGGTTTTAACCATTTATTAATGGACGTGTGTTCTCTTAAATGAGATAAATGTTTGACAATTTATATGCCAAAAATGGTAGAGGGTGAATGAGAAATGGATTCTCAGAGTTAACCCGTTAATAAAACAATATGGTGAGGATTGCAATTTTTGCAATTTTACTGAACCAATCTTATTTTATTAATTTTACGTATTGTTTAAAATTAGTCCATTTTTACGGAGTTAACTGGCCATTAATCTCCAATTATTCGGGACAAATTTTAAACGGAGCGTAGCGTAACGGATGTGTTAATGGCTAATTAATCACCATTAACACCACTAATGCCATGATTAATTCAATGGGTTAATGGTGTAGGAGTTACAACTTTTTAAACTCCTTTATTATAAAAATCAAAGGCTCTCACATTTTGGTTTGTGTGTGACTTGCGTGAGAAAGAGAGAAAGGAAAAGTGAAAACATTTCTTTTGTTTTCTTTTAAAAGAGAGCTCTTGGTTTTCCGTCCAAATTTCCGGCCATCCCCTTTTAAGTTTTTGGTCGCCAACGTTCCTACGTTGTTCTTGTTCGTTGGTGTGTGGCTGGTCCGTACAATCTCCACACACGATAGCGGTTTTATCCTGGGAGGAGAGTGCCCACGTTTTTCCGGTACGGTAGGCGGGCACTACTACCTTAGGGACAGCTCCGGCGACTCCGCTGTCCTTCCACGGTGTTGTGTTTTTGCAGGTTCAGTTCATAAAGACCTCGCTGCATTCTGTCCTAGTGCATAATGTCCTCGCAGCCCAGTGCATAATGTCCTCGCAGCCCTGTGCGTAACGTCCTTGAATCGCTGTCCAGTGTTTAAAGACCTCACTGTCCAGTGCTTAAAGACCTTGCTGTCCAGTGCTTAACGCCCTCGCTGTCCAGTCCTTAATGTCCTCGTACAACAAGGCCATTTGAAGATATAGAAATTTATTTTCAACTTTATTTATTTTGTAATATTCTGAATAAATTATAAATTCAGAATTTTATTTATTGTTTATTTCTGGGGCCGTTCATCTTCCCCGTCCGTTGTAATTCGTACAAAAATTGTAACACTTAGAATCAAAGTAAAGTTCATTTATGAGATGGTGAAATTCTCCTTACATAAATATGATGCATCTATTTATTCTAGATAGTGAAATATATCCAAACAGTGATGAATTTAAAATGTTCTGTAATTATTTCAAAAGTCACTCTCTGCATGTATAGATGCAAATAGTATGCTGCAAAGCTTATAGATGGTGTATTGTTTCGAACAATGGGTTTGTTAATGAAAGAAGTGTGTTTACATCCAAAAAAAATGTTAGTAATAAATTTCAATATGAGTTAAAATTTGTTGAATGATGCTATTTTTCAAAGCTTAAAATGCATATTTCATAGGTCCAAGTGCAGGACGAAAATTTCCTTGAAAAAAATGGTTGCCTATTAGCTCAAATGGTAGAGCGGTATATACTACAGATGTGGGTTCAAATCTCTCATGGGCAAATTATTTCTCATATTTTTCGTTGAACTTTTTCAGAATGCAATGCATTCTCAGAATTTCTCATTACATCCAAAGTCACTCAGGGCTTATTATTAACAAATTCACAAACTAATAGGATTAAATTAGAATAAAATTTAAAGGACAAATTACAATGCATAAATTGGTCTTCATAGTGCATCCGCTTTAGATCTGTCAATGTGGATATCACAGTGCATCTTCCCAAACAAATCCTGAAAAGTGGGATATTAAAAATCCTTTCTTAAATTAATTAATTATAATTTTAACTATACAAATTTTTAGAAATCATCCTAAATAGGACTAAAACATAGAGAAAAGTACCAAAATAGGACTTTCATGTTTTTTTCCCGGAATAGGACTTTGCATTGTGGTAATGTGGCAGTGTACATGTGCAAATTACTATATATACTTTCTTGGTAATGTATATGACCATGTTTGGTAATGTAAATCCTATTTCGGGAATAAAAACATGGAAGTCCTATTTTGGTATATCTTCAATGTTTTAGTTTTACTTTGATCTTTCTCCCTGCAATTTTACTCTTTTTGAATTAGACAGTGAGATAATTAATTCCTGACGGAGGGGGTAGATTACCCAAAACACCATTAAAATAAATACCTCGAGTTCAAATTGTAAATAAATCTAAAAAATATAAATGTTTTCGGAATAAATATTATCATTCATAGTGAAAAATGTAAAGAATTTTTTTTGCACTATGTGAAATGTATTAAAATAAAACAAACGAGAGACATAATAAAACAAGAATGCATTACAAACAATTATTTATTATTGATGAAAACCATTACTTAATACTCCCTCGTCCCGGAGTATTCGTCTAGTTTTGACTTTTGGAACTGTTCATCTAAACACTTTGATTCATCAAATTCTCTCAATGTGTAAGCCTAAATATAGTCATGTGTGATCTTGTTTGATTTATTTTAACATACACTCCCTCCGTCCTCCTAAGATGTTCTCATTTTAACTTTTGGTGGTTTTTAAGGAGAGTTAAAAAAAGATGAAAGTTTACCATAATACCCTTAATGAAAATGTATGGAGTGTATTAAATGAGGTGGGTGAGGTGTAATAAATAAAGTAAGTGGGGGTAGTTGTGGTATTTTAATTGTTAAAAAATGAAATGGGAAGATCTATTGTGGACAAAGAAAAAGGACAATTGGGAAGATCTATGGGGGACGGAGGGAGTAGATTATTAATATATAGTTTCTATAATTTTTTAATATACAAATTACAAGATAAAATTGATTAAAGAAGTGTATTGGATGGTGTGTAAAAATGAAAGTGCACAAATACTCTGGGACGAACGTAGTATGATAAAATCAATTAATAATGAAAAAATATTCCACTTTTTAAGGAACTAATAAGGGAAAACAGCTCATCTTAAGGAGTATCAAATATTGATTAATGTCCATTAATAATCAATGCACGATTGCATTAAAAAAAAATCAATCCACGATTTAATTGCATTGGTATCAACTTGACTATACTGCCCCTACACACCTAATTCCTTCCTAATTTGATGGGATTTATTTATTACTTACCGTATCCATTGGAAAATGGAGCCATCCTTTAGATGTAATTTAGGCCTTTAGATTAACCATATCAACGAATATAATTCATTCTCATTTCTTTCACTGAGGGTCTTTCTCACTTGAACCAGCCCCTATATATATATATATATATATATATATATATACACACACACACACACACATACATATATATACATACATACATATATATACATACATATATATATCGTGGGGATCCACCTGGACTGTTGTGTAACTTTGAATGTATACAGTATTCCCTTTCTTAAACTCTTTTATGGTGTGTTTGGGAACATGAATTTGGATTTCAAATCCAGATTTGATCCAAATTACTTGTTTGGGAACATAAAGAATTTGGATTTGGATTTGGACAAAATTCTTCTGATTCAAAGCTAACTCAACTACAAATCCACAGCCCTCACCATGTCATTTACAAATTCAAATTCAACTTTTCTCTAATTTAAAACTTATAATTAAAAATTGATCTCCCCTTATATAATAACAATTGCATACATATCAACTCACTTTCGTTATCATCTTTGCTGACTTCAAAATTCAAATTCTAAATTGAAATTCTATAACTTCCCAAACAACATTTGGAATTTGAAATTATGGAATTTCAAATCATAGAATTGAAATCTAATATTTCAAATGAAATCCAATTCCCAAACACTACCTTATTTCATTTTAATCCCAATGGAAAACCACCAAAATAAGTGGGGTAAGGTCGGAGAACCCTTTCCAGCTTTATTTCAAACGAATGAAAGCAGTGTTTACATCAGTTAAAATGACTCCTCGAAGCCTCTTGGGTACTATGGGTAGGAGCCAAAAATGAAGGAAAACGAGGTTAAATATTTTGAGAAGACTATAATGACCTATAATGAACAGCACAATTTGCCTCCCTGAACATGTGACGAACAGTAATATTCTTTTCTTTAGCAAGGGCTAGTAGTAGGTCACTAGATCTTTCATCCTTCCCGAAGGTTGAGCTTGGTGCGGTTGGTTGATGAGGTCCACCACATATTTATTGTGCAAGTGCAAAGTAATAGAGTTGGTAACAGTCAAATTCCAACATAGTCCTTGAAGCACTTATATCCTTTCCCAATTTCCAGATCACCTATTCTAACGGTGAAACCATACACGACAATGAAGTCACTTCTTTCATATCTTAGAATTGCTCTGCTCGCTAGTTCATCTTTATCGAACGTGAAATCTACAGTAACAAGGTTTGTGTGCCTTTCCGGAGGAAGCCAACGCAAAATCTGGATGACATTAACCATGAGCAGCTCGAGAGGGCAGATGACATGTGGGATTCTCAACATAGCTCTTTTTTCAGGTATTACTTGAGCCCACGTGCTGCAAAATATCATAAAAAATGAAAAGGATGATTTTCTGCGCACTTGTGCTGATTTCTTCGTAATGTCTTTGTTCAATTCTTTCCATATGATGTAGAGGATCAGGCATGGGAGGATCTGAACGACAAGGGCTAAATCTCTGCTTCTCCTCACCATCTTCCACCAGAGATGGAGGTAAGCTTTCAGTCAATTCATAGTTCTTCTTGGAATATAAAGAGCTCGCTCTTAGACCAGTGGTAATACTGGTAACGCCAAGGGCATTAGGAAAGTTTTGACGCCTGGGGGGCGTGAAACACCGCCCCCCTCCCCCGTTATAAGGGCGTTAAAACTCCTGAGTCAAATTTTTTACGCGATCTGAAGGCGTTATAACGCCTTCTTCTTTCTTTTTTCTCACTCTTTTTTCCTCTTTTTTTCTCAATTTATAAATTAAATTATTTTTTAAAAAAATTCAACACAAATACAAATTTCTCTCTATCTATCATCTTTTTTTAAAAAATTTATTATTCAAGTATTTTTTTATTTTTTCATGAATGTAATTTTTTATTTAGATTTAATGAATGTAGTTTTTTATAATGAATGTAAATTTTTTATTTAATGAATGTAATTTTATTATTTAATGAACTATTCTCGTTTCAATTCTTTTAAATAATTAAATATTTAAATTTTATTAATTTAATTTTAGAAGATGCGTATTTAAAATGTAAAAAATGAAAGTTTGAAGCACCAGTTTGAAGCACTGGAGCTTCAAACCCATTTCATTTGAGACTGTGAGATAAGTTAAAGTTGACTTGGCAGGGAGAGAAGGTTTGAAGCCCCTGGGGCTTCATGGGTATTTCCAGTGCCCTTAGTGGGACCAGATTGCTCTGCTATAATTGCAATCCTTCTGGATGTGGTCCTGTTCAGTACAGGATTTGAGACAAAGGAGGCATCTTGCAGAGAGGTGGATTTTAAATCCGGTTATGTAGGCTTAGGAGTAGACAAATACTAAGTTTTGGAGATGGGGTGTCACCAAGCAAAATAAGAAAAAGTGGAACTGTATGGTAATATTTCATATGTAAAGTATGGATAAGGATAGGTAGATTTTGGACCACACAAATATCAGATATATGGAATGGGAGTGTGGGACAAAGATAGTGGGATGGGCAAAATAGTAAAACATGACAAAGATCATGGGACGGAGGCACTATGTTAATCAAACCTAATTCTAACCATACTAGACTGTTATTATTCTCTGGACCATATCTTATTTTAAGTGGTGGACCATATCAGATGATTACAAATTTCCATTCTAAACATAGCTTCAAAAAACTCAAAGCTTAAGTTGCAGCCTCAACTGAAAAGAGTTGAATGTTCACCTGGTCATTATCTTGTGCAAGTTGCATCAAATTGTCAATTAGCAATGAGACCCATTTAGAACTTCCTTTTGACTCTATGAAATTAAAGAGTGTTAAATATTTGACAATATTTAAATTGCAGTCAGCCGAGGCACTGATTACATGCCTTAATAAAAGAAACAAGATAATATGTTATAGTCTCACCAGAAGAATGTGGATCAAAGCCATGTAAATTAACATGGTGATAAAGGGCATCACAAATATTTGCCAAAGCCCAGGAAGCTGTTATACGGACCTGAAAGGGAAAGCAATAAGAATACAAAGGAAACAAAAGGAATAACTTACAGATGTTGATGTATCCCGGTTATTGTGTTCAGCAGCATATATGAACTTTTCAAAGACCTCTACACTATACAATGGATTAGTAAAAAACTTGCTCACTTGTCTGTAGAAAGTAGACAATTAAAAGGATAGGGTTACCTGTAAAATATTTGTGGGAAGCAAGGAATTACACCAATGGCAAGGCAAGCAGCCGACCTGACTGAAGGAGAATCATCAGTTAGAGCAGAGCCGATCTACAAAGATGACAATAAGTATCACTAATCACATACTGCCAATCTTGGGTCATTCTTTATCACAACTGTTTGTTGTTGAATACATCGAAATGGAAGGCAAGTGCAACAAGGAGCGCCACTAGCCCTTTTTGAATGGGAAAAAAATCTATTAAAAAAACTTGGGTATCACAAGAAATAAAGCAACACATAATTGGAGGATTGAAATGCTTACAGAAGAGTAAAGAATGAATTCCTATTTTGCTTTCGACAAAGAGAATAATACAGAAGATGTTATTCCAGCAAAGCACGTCACTGCTGTAGCCCTCACCTCTCAGATAAATAATTTGATTAGATTTTTAAAAAGTGTAAAACCAACTTCTACTCGTTACAGTCTACAGAGTACTATAGATTTAGAAAAACAAACAAAATGCTGCATTATTTGTGACAGACACTGCAATTCCCTAGTATCAATATAAATTGGTAAGCAGCAAGCAAGCAAGCACTTGGAAGAAAATGAAGTCAACCTTCAACACAAGTCAAAGATGCTTCTAACAAAGAAACACATTATTCAAGTGACAAATTGGCAGATGGATGAAAAATACGCTAGTTAGGACTTGGGAGGAATGTCAAAACGATTAAGACATTAATTGAAATATGACAATATATCATGGTCATTGTAACACAAAAATATGAAAAAATTGAGTTTCCGGCCAGATAATATATCATGGCATGAGTAATAAAGTAACTACTAATCCAAAACCCTATAACTCAAATTACTCATTATTGATGCATGCTTCTAAAAAATTCACGATATCAGTTGACTCTAGAGCTTATATAATCATTCCATTTTAGGCTTCATAACCGCTACCATGCACCAAATGTTCTCCTTGGCTCCCAAAGTTGTGAAAAGCGTGCATCGTGTGAGGTGTAGAGCTTTGCACATTCTTCCTGGTGATGCGGGCAATGTTCGTGAGGCATCCCCTTTTTTGTTTTGTAGGACCTCAGGCGCTACCAATTCTTCTAAACCAATTGGTGTTAGAAGAGGCGCATACCCTAGCCTTATAGTGCATTCAACACACAAGCACCCACGACATTCGACTGTGACTTGGCCCACATAGCCTCCGCCACGGGACAATTGCTGCACACATGGCCAAAAATCTCCCCCTCAGCAATTGCTCCCGCTGGGAATCGAACTCGTGACCTTGGCTCTGGTATCAATTGTTAGAATAATAGACCAACGCTAGAGGGGGGGGTGAATAGCGTTTGATCAAGAAATCGCAGGAATAAAAAATAAATTAACGAAAAGTAAAGAGAAAAGTAAGAGGCACACCGATTTTACCCTGCTTCACCACAACTTGTGGCTAATCCAACCTCCCGAGAGACTCTCTCGAGCTACACTACTATCTCGTTAAGCTTAACGGTGCTTAACAAACCCGTACAACTTAAGAATTCGAGTCACACGGACCTCAACGAACCTTGGAAGGAAACAACCCTTCCTTCGAACAACAAGGGAAATACTTTCTCTTGTCAAGTGTCTAAGAATACTAAAAACACTCAAGAACAATACTCTCTTTTAGAGTGGATGATGAGTAACTAAGAACGCTCAAGAACACAACACAAGCTTCACAAAAATGGCTCTCAAAAAGCTATGAATAAAGGATGAATGATTTGCAATGAAAGAGTAGGAGTTGTGAAGTAATGTGAAATGTAAAACAGACCCAAACACCCCAATTTATAGTAGAAAAATAGGCTCCAACGGACCAAAGTATTTAAGGGGTGATTTGCACAAATTGTGGGATTTGATTAAATTTGGATCTGCTGAAATTCACCCAGACAGCGATGTCCTAGGCTTGGACATCGCTGTTCTAGGCTTGGATTTTGAAAATTGGGAAGCAACGGTCATGCCAACAACGATGTCCAATACACCTACATCGCTGTTTTGGCTGTTGACTTCCAAACAAGGAAAGTTTTAGCCTTAAATTCCTTCCAACGGTCAGGTCCCTACATCGATGTTCAAAACTAGAACATCGCTGTTTAGGTCTGCCTTTGAAGATAGAAGTTTGGCCTGACAGCGCTGTTGCTGGGTCAACATCGCTGTCCAAAAACTTTCTGCCAATGCACTATATTTTTGGCTTAGGTTGGACAGCGATGTAGGAAAGCCTACATCGCTGTTCCAAATGTTTCTGGAAATCCAACCTTGGCTCAACAGTGATGTCTGAGGTCCAACATCGCTGTTGGAAGACTTAGCGCCAAACCATGGTTTTCAGCTACCCAAGCCAGACAGCGCTGTTGGTTACACCAACGTCGTTGTTGGGCTGGTTTAGCCAGACCCATGGTTGGTTTAGTCATGCCGTTAGCCGATGTCAAAAAAGTAAGTTCTCCAAAATGAAAACCAAGCATTGAAAACATTTGTTTATTGCATTTTGCTAAGAAATAGAGTAAAACATTTTAAAAACCACGTCATTTAGTTGAAAACCACGGCTAACCAAGTTTGCGCTGTTTCGCATGGTTTTCACTAAACGACCAAAAACGGAAGGTGGTTTTTGAAGCGTTTTTGTTGGAGAACTATTTAAATATGCCCAGAAGTAAAAACCAGTCATAAAAAGTTGAAAACCACTTGGTTGGTTCAGACGCCAAAAACCAATGCCGAAAACCGAAAGCTTAACGCCGGTTTCTGAAAGCCGAACGCCGGATGGCTTGGTTTTTGGTTTGGGCGAACTCCAAGTGTTTTTAGCCAAGTTTAAAACTTATGAAAAAACATTTTTTTTGAAATTGAAAAAAGTATTTTGATGAATTGAGCCTAGAGAGCCAAGATTTGGAAGTTTGTGCCGGTCTTGATCACTTTAAGACCGACTCAATGCAATTCTAATTCTTGGTTCTTGGTTCTCAAATCATCATTCCATGTTCCTTTGCCTTGGGTTTGCTCACTTTAGCCTTGTTATGTCACGGCGGTTTGGCATTATCAAAACCTGTCATAAAAACGAACACAGTTTAGTACGACGTAGGCGTAAACCTGTGTTCCAACAATTTCCCCCTTTTTGATAATGGCAAACAAGACGAGGATATGCATACTAAGGGATATTTGATTTTCAAAATAAAATTGTTAAAAAGTTCCCCCTTAATTTGTGCTTAAAAAAATTTGTCAGATTAAAAATCAAACGGTCTTGTTTTTAGAGGGGTTCCCCCTTAGTATATGCATAGTCCTTTTCTTCCCCCTTTTGACATTAACAAAAATATAAAAAAGATAATTTTATTTATTAAAGGGAAATAGCGGAGTACAACGGAAGCATAAAAAAAGATAACTAAACGAAGAGATAGAAATTCAAGGGGTGTCCTAGTTTTCGTCTTCGGTTTCTTCCTCGTCGTCGTCGACGTCCATCTCATCACCATCAATGGCATCGTCGAACTGATCTTCGTCCGGGGAGCTTGACTCGGAGACGGAGCCATCCTCTTCGTCCTCATCGCCGTACACTTCCCCGAGGAAGGTGCCGTGAAGTGGTGGAGGGACGTAGTTGATGCCCTGGAAGTACACGTTCATGGCGTACCCTTGGCGTTGAACAGCCACGTCGAGCCGTTCAAGGTAGCCTTCCATCCCGTTGACTTTCAGGTGAAGCCGGTTGAGGGAGTCGGCAATGGAGGCGAGGTTGGCCCGGGCCTGGGGTTCGGCTGGGCCAGCGGCAGGGGCATCGCGGCGTGGCTCGGCAGTGGCAGTTGCGGCGTTGTCCGACCGCTCGGTGAAGGTTTGGTTGCTGATCGTCCAAAGCTTCGTGGCCTTTGTGAGCGGGCCAACTGTGGTGGTTACCTTGAACCATTCAAGGATGTCCATCACCAAAAACAGGTACGGGAGGAGATGGTCGTGCTCGGTGGAGGTGGCGATCGTCATGTTGATCATGACAAATTTCGCCCAATTGATTGGGGCCGAGTGCATGATCGCGTGGATGAGCTTGAGGTCCTCACTGGACATGATTGTGTGGCCGTGCTTCCGGGGTTTGATGATCCAAGACACGATGTAGAGAACGAGACGACCTTCGGGGTTAGCGGAGTGGATGGTGGGGCGGCCCGAGGCATGGTGGATGAGCTCGGTGATGCCAAGCTCGTTGAGGATATTGCCCTCGTTGTTGAGCATCCAGTCTTCTCCGCCATAGTGGGAGATGTCTTCGCCTTGGAAGGGGAGGCCGGCGATGCGCCCAAGCTGCTCCACGGTGAGCTCGATCGGCGTGCTCTTGACGAGCGAGTAGAGCACGTCGTCCTCACGCTGGAGGTTGGAGTAGAAGGCCCGGATCAGCGCTGGGTTGATCTCCTTTCGCGCTCGGGAGACGAACGGCCAAAGGCCGGCTTGATGAAGCTACGCGTCGAGGTCGTCGTAGCCCTGCAACTCCGGGTAGCGTTCCGGGATGATTCGCGGGGGAGCCACAACCCGTTTAGAGAAAAAGGTAAGAAAGCGGGTGCGCTCCTCCTCGTAATCAAACCAGAGGTACGACCCATCGCCGTAGTAGAGGCGTTCCTCGGAGGTTGTCGTAGGCGCCCGGGATTTGGACTTTGATTTCCCGGAGGTGGCAGCCCTGCTCTTGTCTTTGCCCATAGTGGAGAAATCTGAAGAAGAATGTAAAGAGGATGAAATATGCAAGAGGAAGGGAGAGAATTGTGTCTGTGTGTGTAAAAGTGAGAAGAGGGGGTCAAAATTTATAGGAGAATGAGTTCCTAACGTTCAAAGATTTGAAAAAATAGCTGTTGGAGCTTTTAATGCAGTTGCCAACGGTAATTTTTTTAAAAATTTGACCAGAACAGCGATGTTCTACAGGAGACATCGCTGTTGGGACAGTGCTGTTGTGCCTTGTACAGCGCTGTTCTGCGTCAAGTTTTTTTTTAAAAAACAAGAGTCAAATGGACAGCGATGTTGAGTATCCTATAGCGATGTTCCAAAAGTTTCTGGAAATTGCACTCATTTGGATAGCGCTGTTGGAACTATGTACATCGCTGTTTTATGATTTGGAAAAAATTTGTAAAACTGGACAGCGCTGTTGCAATTATGGATAGCGCTGTAGGAAAACTTTCTGGTTTCGTTTGAAAACAAGGTTTTGGAGGACAGCAATGTTGAAAAACTTTCTGGAAAGTATAAGGAAAGGGAACTCCCTGGTTTACAGCGTTGTTGGCTTAGCTTGTGGACAGTGCTGTTGGAAAACTTTCTGGTTGACGGTGTTTCTCTCAACAGCGCTGTTCGGTCTCCTGGACAGCAGTGTTTGCATGGTTCCCCCTGATTTCATGGACGGGGTACCTGCAAAAAAGAAAAAGTTCTCCGACGCTCAAGTTAGTAAACGTTTAATAAGTGTAGATGCACAACTTAGATCACCGTGGAGTCAAGGATTCCGAGTTCACTTCGAATGCGGAAGAACGACTCTTTCTCTAAAGGTTTTGTGAAAATGTCGGCTAATTGGTTGTGTGTTTCAACAAACTCAATTTCGACATCACCTTTGAGAACATGATCTCTAATGAAATGATGCCTAATGTCAATTTCTTTCGTCCTTGAGTGAAGAACGGGGTTCTTCATCAAGCTTATGGCGCTAGTATTATCACAACGAAGAGGGACGTGATTGATACTAAGGCCATAGTCCACGAGTTGTTGCTTCATCCAAAGGATTTGAGCACAACAACTACCGGCGGCAACATATTCCGCTTCAGTTGTGGATAACGCAACACTGACTTGTTTCTTGCTAAACCATGAAACTAAAGAGCTACCAAGTAAGTGGCAAGTCCCACTCGTACTTTTACGGTCCAATTTGCAACCGGCAAAGTTCGAGTCGGAATAGCCAACGAGATGACAAGAAGAGCCTTTTGGATACCACAGTCCAACGTTAACCGTGCCGGCAAGGTATTTCATGATCCGTTTTACCGCCGTTAAGTGTGATTCCTTCGGACACGATTGATACCTTGCGCAAAGGCAAACGCTAAACATGATATCCGGTCTACTAGCAGTAAGATAAAGAAGGGATCCGATCATACCTCGATACTTTTTGACCTCTACTTCCTTACTTTCTCGTCTTTGTCAAGATGGTCAGACGTGCTCATCGGAGTCGCCATGGCTTTAGCGTTGTCTATTTCAAACCGTTTTAGGAGCTCTTTGCAATATTTAGCTTGGAAAGTGAACGTGCCATCTTTCATTTGCTTAACTTGGAGTCCCAAAAAGAATGTGAGCTCGCCCATCATTGACATTTCAAATTCGCTAGTCATTAGCGTTGAGAATTCCTTGCACAAAGACTCGTTAGTAGCACCGAATATAATATCGTCTACATAAACTTGAACCAAAAGGATGTTATTGTTTTTACTCTTGATAAAAAGTGTGGTGTCTACCTTTCCCCTTTGGAAACCACTCTCCAAAAAGAAATTTACTCAAACGTTCGTACCAAGCACGGGGTGCTTGTTTAAGACCGTAGAGCGCTTTCTTGAGTTTGAAGACATGATCGGGAAACTCAAAGTCTTCAAACCCCAGGGGCTGGTCAACATACACTTCCTCTTGAATAAAACCATTGAGGAAGGCACTCTTAACATCCATTTGATAAAGTTTAAAATCCATAGACGAGGCAAAAGCAAGAAGTAAACGAATAGCTTCTAAGCGTGCTACGGGTGCATAAGTTTCTTCAAAATCAATTCCTTCTTCTTGATTGTAGCCCTTAGCTACGAGCCTAGCTTTGTTTCTAGTGATTATTCCATTTTCATCGAGTTTGTTACGGAACACCCATTTCGTACCAATAATCGTACGATCATTGGGCCTTGGCACCAATTCCCAAGCGTCATTCCGTTTGAATTGGTTTAGCTCCTCTTGCATAGCCAAGGTCCAATGTTCATCGTTTATTGCTTTGGAAATGGTTGTAGGTTCAATTTGAGAGACAAAAGCCATGTGACCTACGGTGTCCCTAAGAGAGTTACGAGTACTTACCCCGCGGTTGATGCTGCCGATTACCTGGTCAAGTGGATGGTTCCTGTGCATTCTCCAAGCGATGGGAAGCTCGGTTTCCTCTTGTTCCTGGGCTTCCTCTTGTTCTTCTTCGTCCGCTTGGTCCTCATTTTCGACCATCACTTGAGGTGTTTCCTCAGGTTGTGGTGGAGGATTGGTGTATAATGGCATGTCTTCTTCATCGTCTTTAACGTGTAATCTTTCGAGTGAATCTGCAAGATCATCACAAATAGCCTTTCTCGCCAAGCGAGTATTATCTTCGGAAAATACAATGTGAGGGGACTCCTCAATAGTCAAAGTACGTTTATTAAACACTCTATAGGCCTTGCTGCGAAGAGAATAACCAAGAAAAATCCCTTCGTCCGACTTGGCATCAAATTTTCCCAAGTTATCTTTGCCGTTATTATGAATAAAACATTTGCAACCAAAGACTCGAAGATGGGAAAGGTTTGGCTTTCTCCCTTTGTATAATTCATAGGGCGTTTTCATGAGTATCGGTCGAATGACGGCTCGGTTTAACACGTAGCTCG